ATGAGAGAGCCCAGCAGCAGAGGATTTTGTCCATGAGGAGCCAGCAGTTCTTCTCCTATTCCCATCTCTCTTTCGGTTTGGAAGCTGGAGGAGAAAGGGTCCTGACAGTCAGAGCCTCCCTCTTTTCTCCTTGTCCACAGGCCATTTATTCAGCCTAAGCAGAGATGGATAACATCCACCCCAGGGCCAGATCCTCATTCAGCCACACACATCAGACCCCTGTTTGGTACCTGTTTTTGCTCAGCTACAAGCACTCGAGTGCAAATAGGCTGATGGAGCAGCAATTGCTTAACTGTTGCTCCTTCATCACTGTTTTCCAGCCAAAGGCAACAGCCAAGCTGAAGCCCCCAAGCACTGCAGAGAGAAAGCAGACAGAGCAGTCAGGATACCTGGAAGCTAAGATACCTGGTCCCAAACTTTTGACAAAAATATTTGAACTCCTGAAACTGATGGATATACCACAAAGGTGCTCTTTGGGAACTGCATTTCTGCCAAAGGCTCACCCACCCACTCTGACAGCAGGGAAGGGGGCTTGTCACTTTCTGTTTTACCCTTTTGCATTTGTTCATTAAAGAAAAAGCTTTCTGGGAGATTCTGCTCTCCTGGAGGTCTCCATGGCTGACAGCTGGATGGGTGGATGGTTTGCATCAGCTTCCAGAGAGCAGCAGCATGATCTGTAGTCACAGCAGTGCTACTGATGGTCCAAACTGACTCTATGCACATGTACAATTCACAATCAGATAAACAGATTTTAGCCCAGCTTTCCAGTTTTGCTCACTGATGACAGGTACAGCCCAAGGAATAATTCAGATCCACCCCAAAAGGTTGACCCCAGTGCAAGAACCATGGTCTCAAAGCCTTGGTGGCTCAGGAGCGTAGCAGCCCTCCCCAGAGAGGAACTGGCCAAGGCTGGTAGGAGGGGTGTGGGTGAAGAACCACTGTCCTCCGCTGCCTGAGCCTCCCTCTCCACCATCCATCCATCTACAGGCTGTGGTACGCATGTCCTCGCTCTCAGCCTCATGGCTGTTTGAGGAGGTGGTTTGTGGGTTTCTTCCCTTCCCACAGAAGCAGACCCAGGGTTAAAGTGTTCCCCTTGCTCATTTCTCTAATCGCACTGACCCTTATTGAGATGGGTGTCTATTTGTCCTGTACAGCAACTGCATATAAATAAGGTGAATTATGCTGATTGTCTTCTTGTCTGATAAATTTCTGGGGCAGATCCTTTTCACTTATGCGCTTCCTCAGTCTACTATTTAGGCAGAGCAGCTATTTGCTGTGTGTAAGAGATATTAATGTGTCTTGCTGCGGACTGATATGTTTCAAGGAGGAAAGATCAGCACATCTGAGGCTGGCTGTGAAGCAAAAAGTCCTTCAGAGCCTTGAAACCAGAAGGGAAAAGCGAGTGGGGTAGCAGGGCTGTGCTGCCCTGGGAAAGAGACCCCAACAGATTTCATCCTTGGGGTGGCTGTGGCAGAAGATGCCATAGGACTAGAAGCTGGGAATTTTAGGAGCTGGTAGACCCCAGGACCCCATCAGCAGCTGTGGTAATTCATGGTCAAACCTGGTTTCTGCCCATTAAGACATTGCAGCACTCATGCCTGTCCACAGCTGGCAAAGGGGGTCCTGTGCCTCTGAAGATAAATCAGGCAGAAGCGTGATGAAAAGGAAAAATGCCTTGTGTGATGCAGGGCTGTGACATATCTGATGCCAGGCTGGCTGGCGTCCTTAGCATGGTCCTGACCCCAAAGCCCCTGGGCTGAGATCTGCCCTCCCTCATCCCATGAAAGTGCCCCTCACGTCCTTATGGCAAACACCAGGACACCACAACAAGATGAAATATGTGGATCCCACCTGGGTCAGTGCAAGGGTCAGAGATCCCAGCCACCATGCTCCTGCCCAAACAAAGGTGCATCCAAGGTGGTGGCAAAAGTGAGAGCAAAGAGGACAAGAGGCAGAGAAGTTCCCTGGGCTCCTACACGTCCTTGACCACATCCCACCTCACTCTGTCCTTCCCAGCTCTGTGGCATAGCCTTCCTTCTCCTCCAAAGGGCTGGGAACAGCTTTGGACATGATCTGGTTTCCTGAGCTGTCTTCCATCACTCTGGCAGGTCCTTAGAAAAATGAACATTAAAGAGGAGGGGGAGAAACCTCCACTGTTCAAACATCTTTAGCTTTGACAAATAAGGCGTCCGGCTGTGAAAGGCGAAAGGAAATTAATTTAGAATCACATTTTAAACACTACCATAGAGGCAAAGTATCTTCTCTCTAATTTTTTTCCCCCCAAGCAAAAAATGAATTTCCCTGATATTTATAGAAAGATTATTAGGGCCACAAGGAGTGATTTATATCATCTCATCCCTGTGACGGAGAATGAATAATTGCTGGGGCGACAGCCACTGGAATCCTGCTTTTGTCCGCCTGACAATTAAAACGGCTAATTTCCAAATCCAACAGATCCTCTGGGGTTATAAATCATTCCGGAAAGGCACTTTTCACTGTGAAAAATGAACTCTGCCCCAATCAAGCACGAGAAGCTTAGATCTAAGATTTGCATCTGTTTGCTTTGGTGTGTAAGTGTATGTACTCTGGCTCCACACCCAGCCAGCAAAGGAGATGCTAGGAAGGAGGTGCTGCCCCTGCTCACTCGATGCTGGGCTTTCAAACTACCTGTGCTAGGAGCTTCTGGGGATAAATGGGACAGAGAAGGCAGGAGGAGGAGAAGACAGTGAGGTTAGAGAAAGCCCAGTGACATTCCTGTCCTGTTTCTGATGCCATAAGCATCAGAGAGCTTCACCCAAGAGTATTACTGGTTGAGCAGCATGGGTTTGAGTCTGTCTGCATGCAGAAGGACCAGCTTCTGCCTGTGTACACTCCATCCAGGGAGGCAGGTTGGACCATGCTTCTTCCTGTGCCGCAACTATGCGTTGGGCAATCCCACCAAGAAAGGGCAGGAAGGCAGAGAAGGAGCTCTCCCACAGATTTGCTCCCAGGAGAGAGACAAACATTTCCAAGGAAACAGGAAAATGAGGTGGGCTGAGCACAACACAGACCCTGGGGCTTCCCTTGGCCTCCAGGTGTTGATCACCTGTGGTGGTTTCACTTGGCTAGCACTGGGCTAGCAGCCAGACACAGCCACTTGCTCACTCTCCTCCCCCAGAGGATTGGGGAGAGAATTGGGAGGCAAGAGTAAGAAAACTCATAGGTTGAGATAAGAACAATTCAATAATTGAAATAAAATGTAAAATAATAATTATATCAAAATAATAATGATAATAATAATAATAAAATATACAAATGAGTGATACCCAGTGCCATTGCTCACCACCTGCTGACCAAGCCTGGCCCCTTCCCAGAGAACGACCCCAGAGGAGCAACAATCCCGAACCGAAACCGCAATCCCAGGAGAGCCAGAGCCCGAGCGAAAGCCAGAGAGAGCGAGAGGAAGAGCCCCTCATGGATCTCCTGCCCATGGGGGACAGGAGATGGAATAGCCCCTTGGCAGAGCCAAGTGCCCATGGAGCTGATCCATTGCAATATTCCTCGCCCCCTGAGATCTTGCACTTGTAGACTAACAAAACACGCAGTCTTTCAACTTCCAGCGACAAAAATGCAGACACTGGTATGTCCTCAGCATTTCTCTCATAACAAATCCCAGCTGAACCCAAACCCCAGTGCTGTTCAAGCTACTAAAAAGAAACCAGCTCTGTCTCAGCTGAAAAACCAGGACATCTCCTGGAACAGAATCTGTTGTACAGGACTGCAGGAGGGGAATATGGGGAATGAGTGTTTGTCCCTTTTGAGCCAAACTTCCAACTCACAGGTCCTCACAGTCATGAGCCTAGGACACAGCTGTCCAGGCAGCCCACGCCAGTGCCCCCTCCCACGGTAGCACATGCCTGGCCCCATGCACACTTTGCACCCACTCTTTTAACATGGGATGAAAAGATCCTTTCTTATTATCAGATCTATCCCAGGATGACTTCTAAATCCATGGTTGCAGACAGAAGCCTTGGATAGAAGCATTTATTCTGCCTGTCCTTCCCACTCTATGTAGCTGGGGACCAGCCAGGGCTGGCGCGGGTCCCAGCGGCACCTGGATCTGTTCCAGTCTGGTGTCGGACGTCCTAACCTTGTGTCAAGTCTCCCTAAGACAAATGCTCCACTTGACGTTTCCACAAAATTCAAACAAAGGCCCCACATTCTTATTTGTGCTGCTCCCCTAAACACGATCCATAAAGAAACCAAGAGCAAACAAACCTGCATGGAGGGCTCTCACAGGGGGCCCCGAGCGCCGTGCTTTTCTCTGTACACACACATGCCCGTGCCTGGTGCACAGCTGCTGCTGGTCACCCCTCTTCCTTATCACAGTTTGTTCAGTTGGCAGCTTGAAGTCTGCCCAGTAGCACAGAGGGCCCCCCAGGAAGGTTCTCTGCACCTCTGGATGGCAGGGCTCTGCAGCAGCCCCGGGGAGGGGTGATGGATGGATGGATGCAATAACCTTGTATCATAAAAGCTCGGTGTTTTTCTTTTTGTTTTTCTCACTTTCAAACCCCCTGTCACAGGGAAGCGAGCAGTGGAGCATTTTGGAGAGGCCAAGTTGTGCTTTGCTGGAGTGTAACAGCAGAGATCTCAGCACCAACCAGAGCTGCTGGGAGCACCGGGCTGGAATCTCTGGGCCATGCACTCCATGGTAGGGTTTTTTGAGCCAGGGCAGCCCCTGTCCCGATGTCAGTCCCCATCCCAAAGCCAGGCCCTATGCACCAGGACCTGCCATGGTCAGGCTTGCAGGAGTTCCCAAGAAGATTGCCAGTGGTACCAGAGATACATTGGAAGCATGAAGTTGGCCAGCAAAGGCTTGGGCAGCCCTTGGCCTCCGCAGAGGCTGTCTCTCAAAGTTTTTGTGAGCAGGCTTCTGTCCTCAACCCTTCCCCAAAGAGGCAAGAGCCCCTTGCAGTCATCCCTCCCCTTGCAGGCACCGCTAGCAAGAAGCAGGGACTCACCCATGCAGGAATCCCGCTGCTCTTCATAGCCAGCACTGCACACGCACTTCCCGATGGGCACCAACCATTCTCCCTCAGCACTGCAGTACATTTTGGGGGTGTCCCTCTCCTCTGAATGGCCCACGCACTCTCCACGCACTTCCACCAAGGAGGACGAGTCCGCCCCAGTCACAGCCTCGGAGAAGGATGCCAAGTTCCTCACCATTGCAGGGCACTTCTTGTAGTACACCCGCACCGAAACAATGGCGATGCAAGCACCTATGTCCTGGAAGGCCAAGTAGAAACCCCGTTTGCTCAGTGGTCCCACACCCCGCACCTCTGTGTTCAGCTTCAGGCGCCTCACCCCCAAGTCCACATTGGTGAAACTTTCATCAGCCGCGATGGTGTCAATCTTCATAAACTGGCTCTCCCGGGTGCTGGTGCCCAGGTCCCGGTCAGACTCCAGGTAGTAGAGGTTGAAAGTCTCCTTGCAGGTGCCCAGGACACCCGGCATGCTGTTACAGTCCCGCAGCGTGAATTTAATCTCTGCATAGACCCGCCGCGCTCCATCCCGTTGAACCCAGTTGGTCCGTAGCCAGTTGTTCTGGTTGGGGGTCATGACATTACAGACCTGGTAGGTGTGGATGGGGCTGAAAAACTCATCCATTTCATTGATCGAATCCCACTGTGGGACAGAGAGAGAACAGGTCATTCTTGATGTCCCCAAAGACCAGGCGAGCACGGGGCATGCAGGAGTGTGTCACCCCCCAGGATGAACTCCCTCTGCTCCTGCAACTGTGTCTGGATGAGAGATCACTGTTGTCACAGGTCAAAGAACAATGAGGATGAGGAGACTTTACCCAGCACTAATTTGGGCAGTAATTCTCACAGCCCACCTGATGCAGAGCTGGGTGAAGTGCAGATGTAGATGGGAATGCTTGCATGAGTCTGATCTGATGGCAAAAACTGATGACAATGTGTGTTTGAGAGGGTCCCAAACCCTCCATACCATGTCTACAAGTCTCTTTTCTTGGTGCTCAACTTGCCATTCGCAGCAGCAGCAGAAAGGCACCTGCATGGTGCTCACCTGGGTCTCTTCTGGCTCATGAAATTTCCATGCACAAACTAAACACATCGCTTTCCAGCTGGATAATGAGTTTCAGAGTGTATACCAGGAGGTGAAGGGGAAGCATGCAGTGAACACAGGACTTCCAGCAAGAAACGAGGGTCCATGGGGGCTCAGAGCCCTCTTCCCAGGCAAGGAGAGGTCAGCATGGTTCCTCCATGTGAGCCCACAGTGCTCAGCCTAGCTGAGAATCTAGACTAGGGACTGGCCCTGGGAGCCCAGGAGCTTACAGCTTGACAGGTCTGGGGTTAAAATTCAGTGTAGCAGTGGCAGCATTGTGAGCTTGGGGAGGAGATGATGGGCAAAAGCAGGTTGCAGCAAGCAGGAGCACAATGGAGGGGTGGTCTGGGTGAGTTTAGAGGGACAGGGGTATTTGTGCCATCCAGAAGAGGGTTGCTAGGTGGTTTTGACTGATGAGAAGTGAGAAGTGATGAGACTTTGGATACAAATAAACTCCATGGCTGAGAGACAAGTTGAACTTAATTGTTGGGGTCTAGAGGATACTTCTAGGGGTTTGCTCTTGCCTCACATATCTCCCTCTCTACCATCTCCAACCCAACCAACCCATCACCAGGACCCACAGACCTTCCTTTCTGTGGGGGCTTCCCACCACCTCTTCAGCTGACATCCCTGTCCAAAGCAGGCACTCCAATCACATTACCCATGGGTGGGTCTGAGACCCTTGAATTCTTCTTATGGGAGAAGGAGGAGGAAGAAGAGGAGAGGAGGACTTCAAGCCTTCTGACTTTTACGTGGACTTAGCAACAGTTTAGAAGATGCCCAAGTTCCACCACCAAGTCCAGCTGTGAGGGGCAGCCCCAGATGCATCCCTGCAGCAGGTGGGGAAGACACTGGCTGCCCTGCAGTGCTTGCTGCTCTGGCTACCAAACCATCACCCCACACCTCAGCACCCCCCTGCCTGCACCCTCCTTGGGCTCTGGCTCTGCCTGCACCACAGAAGGCATCTGATGGGGATCAGCCCCCCATCTCAGCACTGCCTGTGCCCTGCCTGCCTTAAAATAAATCTTTTAAGCAGCATTGCAAGTACAGTAAAACAAAACTCTGGGCTTTCTCTGATGGGGCAAAAATGGTATTTTCTTATGCGAGTGGTGACATGTGGTTTGTTACAGACACAAAACCAACAGCAGCCCAGAGAGAAGGAGATGCTCAGCTCAGAGTGGGTGAGCTGGAAGATTTCACCCCAGTGACTGTGGGAGCTGGTTAAGGATGCAGATCTACTGGGACAGGCACCCAGCAGCCTCACCATGTGACTGCCAGAACTGCAGGGACAGGACACAGCTGGAGGAGGGCACCACACCTCCACAGCCTGAGAGATATTGGAAAGAGGTTATCAGTGACTCCTGTAAAACAGCCTGCTCCCTTCTCCCCTCTCAGGCAGGAAAGTCTTTCCTCATTTAACCTCCTCAACCTGTAGCTCCTGGGGAGGAGGTGTCCCTGTGCCTTTTGCTAGTGCTGGGGTGATCAGAGCAGTCATTTTGGTGATGTACATCTTCAAAACTTCGACCACATCTTCTCTTTAGAAAACTCTGGTTCTCACTCCTAAAGAGCTCAAACCAACCTGGTAAAGGCAACATCTCTGGCTGCAGACTCCAACAAAAGTTTGTTCAGAGGGGAGTATGCTGGCAGCGTGAAGTCAACCCACTGACAGGAGAGAAAAATATTTCTAGTTCTTTAAAAAAAGAAAAAATCTTCTGAATTCCAGAAATGCCTGGGTTCATCCTAGGATCACCAAGGACCTGCTCTGCACCTCAGCACTCAGATACACCCCTGGAAAGGGACCAGGCTATGTGTGCTTGGCTGGAAGGGCGAGCTGTGCCTGTGACCAGCAACACTCATCGTACTATGTCCCAACTTCTCCAGCTGCAGAGATAAGCCTGCAGCAAGTGCTGTGACACCCAGCATGCACTTCTGTCATTGGGTCAAGGGGTAGAGGGGTGCCCTGAGGTGTGTGCAGCAGCAGGCACAGCTCTGCTCCCTGCACACCCCTGCACGGGGGCCGGTGGGAGCCAGCCAGCTCCCCGCTTCCCACACCAACCTGTGCATCCACCGCGACACTGTGGAGGGTGTGGAAGTTGTCACAATTAATCGAGCACAAATTAACACAACATCTGTTTCCTGTCTTTTCCCTTCTGAGTTCCCAGTGGGAAGTGAAGCAGAGCTGGAGATATACAGGGCGAGGCCAGAGCAGGGAAGTTCCCCGCCATGCATAGCCAGATCCCCTCTGCAGCATCTGTGGGGCTCAGGGCTCTCCAGGAGTGTTCATCGAGGGATATAGGAGAAGGTTGTGTGCACCAAAAGGCCTTGGCCTCCAGCTACTGTGGCTGCTTTGGGTTTCCAGATATTCACTTCTCTCCCAAATCTGTCAGAGGAGACAGTGCTCATGACCACACGGTCCACGCATACTGTGGCACTGCCAGACCTGGCAGTGTCCTCACCACTGGCAGAGAGCAGGGAGCTAAATGTCCATCTCCAAGCACTGGTGATGGTCAGCATCAACTGCAGGGGAGAATTTGGAGTGTTTGCATTTACAGTATCACCCTTTCAAAGCTGGTGGTTTTTGGGCAGCAGTTGGACTGTCA